ATGGGCTGAATTGCACAAAACGCATGATCGCACCGGCTAGTCTGGTGCGCATTGCCATTTATTTTCAAAGATGGGCTGCGGCAGTATGTCCTCATTCTCACTGCGGTCCCTTTCTTTGCGCCTGATCCCGCCGATTTCCCCATGAGAAAGAGAGATGTCCTCACCGGCTTCATGCCAAGGCTCGGATATGCATCACGGTGTTTCCCTGTAGCTTGTCGTCTCAGCAGTCGTCTCAGCCTGCTCCATTCATTTACTGTCTTCCAAAAGAAAGTGAAGCGGCTATCCATTGTTCATCATTTCCACAGAATGTTTCAAAATGCGTAAGCAGTAACGGCTAAGTTTCAGCAGCTCTTTTTCTCTCAGTGGTGGTCTCGAGCTTCGAGAGCAGTCGCTGCTGCGCTTGGATCTCCTCCTCGTTGCACCTTTTCTTAGAGCTGTTTTGCAGCGTTCCGTTCGCATCATCTTCCACACACGCTCTGCATATCCTTCAAGCTTCTAACCTAGCCGGAGGGAGTCTAAGTAGCATACACACACAAGCAAACACACACACATACACATACAGCAGCGGCAGCAGTAAGCAGCCATCGTTTACAGCTGTGCTTGTGTTCGATCGCTTTCTTTTCAGCTGAGTCTACCAAATTCTTAGTAAAACTCATTTTATTTTGGTTGTTTTTTCCATGTGTCTTTTTGCTTCCTTCCCGCATCGATCTGTCGACAAACAGTGCACACTGCAAACAGGACACTCCGGCTGAAATTGAATTGAGTGACACTGGCACCCTGGCCACTTTATACTCGTGGTCATCTGCGCCGTTTCTCGCCTCATGCTTGCTTTGATCAGCGATCACCTCGTGTTCGGCTTGCTCATTTCCTTTTCTCGAAGAGAGCTGCTAAACTCATAACTTATGATTGTCCTTCAGCTGACCTGCTGACGAATTTCCGACACATCACCACAACGGTCATCAACAGTAAGCCGACCTATAACGGGGGTTATTTGTGAAGAATTCAAAAGCTGGTAGACAGTCGTTAATATTTGTTGCTCGTGGCATTTTTTCGTTTTTCGTTAATATTTTCGTAGCATTTTTGCTGAATTTCCAATGAAAGTTAGAGAGGGGCGCATAATTGTTTGAAAAGTAGTTCTTGTCATCGTTAAAACAGTCTAATAATGTCTTAATTTCATAGTCGAAAAATGATTTGCGAAAGAGCGAAAGCACGGTGAGAGCGGTGAAGAATAGGGGAAAATAGGCCATAGATTCTCAGCTTCCCGCTATAATTTGCGAAGACCTGGCGTAGCTACACTCAGCGTATACAAGCACCTCAGTTGGAGATTGTCGGAGTGATTTTGTAACTTAGATTTCAGCCGGGCACAGCTTTATTTTATTTTAAACCAGACATAGATGCGTCACATGTCGCGTGAATTTTCATTTTTTACACGGAATGCTTGTTAAGGATCACTGCTTTGCCTGCTTTTTTTCAGGCGAAATTTCTATAACTAAAAATAAAATTTCTGACATTGCAGTCAGTGCGGTTGTACCCGATCCGAACAATACGCTGTTATCGCGCAGCATCCTACCGGACAAGTTTGACGGGCGGGAAAAGTACGCGCAAGGATATCTGAGGCCAACCGCAGACACTCGTCTTGTTAGTTCAAATTTTTGTTTTTTTTTTTGGTTTGTGTATTTGGGGCTTCTTTATTTCTCATTTGGGACGTTGCCATTACTTGAAATTGCATAAACGCGATAAATTACTAAGATGTTTTTTTACTTTTGATACTTATTATCCTCCTCGTCCTCAG